CTACAACTTGGTGTTGACTCCATATCTATCTCTTCCTAATTTAATGTTCTCTCTTGGTTAAAAAATATGTGTCCTTAATTGACCCATCTGAGCTGAAATCAGTACCCATGTGTGAATGCAATCCACAGTCAACAATCAGATGCAAATACTGTGAAGAGTAGCAAGATGGGCACTTAAAATTGAGAAGATTTACAATTCTAAAGTTTCTACTTCTGCTCTTTTCCCCTTCCCAATTCTGTCTGTATCCTTGTAAATTCTTCTGATGCTGCCTAAACAGAGGTACTTTCTCTGCATCTTAGTGAAATGGGAAGCACAAATGAAGTTCAGTTTGGTGCTACAGCAAAAGCTCAACTCATTGATATGGTGTTTAACATGCTGCAGAGGTATTTAGAATATAACTGCTTGCTACAATTTTAAGAGGCAGTTTATTCATCTTAACAGAGAGCGTATGTAGAAGAGGGCCTAAGATTGACATCTTTGGGATTAGTTTAGCCTTACATTTTTCCCAGAGGTCATTGTCATGGTGCTCTGGAGGTTTGTAGAATAAATGGGGCCAGCATTTTTCTTGGGACCACATGATATAAAGTAATACATAATGTTTAATTTACTGTCTCTGTAGCTAGTGTAGCCATTTTTCACATAATCATATTGAATTAGAACTAGTTGCATGGACGGATGGGGAGTCAGCAGACTAGCTGCTGGGGTTGGATGGAGGTTCTGAGAAGCTATACCGGTAGCACTCTGAAAGCCTGCATTTTGTATTTTTATGTCTTCACTGAATCAGATTGAAAGCTGAGGTACCTTTAATACTTTCTATCAGGTCCCTACAAGAAGAAAAAAGTTATAATGCAACCAGTACTCCTGCAGACCTCAGAATACTGATGCAGCACATTCATATACAGGGAGTGGAATTAGTTCAAATAATATTTTGCAGTGTTGCAGTTCCTTCTGAAAAAAAAAAATAAGGCAAGGGATTGTCTGCAATATGTAATTTTCTAAAGTAGGGATGGGAACATTTGAAGGCTCACTGGCTGAAACTCAGCCTCTTGATTTTCCAAAGGGCTACAGGAAGCCATCCAGTAATACTATAATGTCACTGGAAAGGGCAGAACTGGTCAGATTTTTTGCCGGGTGGGGTTTAAGTCAGTCTCCTGCCCAAACTACTTGTAGTAATGCTCCTGAAATTTGGCCATTTTGAAGCTAAATTTCAATAGCATGAAATGGAAGTGTAGGGGGAGGGGCACATGCAGCTTATAAGCTGCAGGTTGTTCTAACTCTACAGATCCAAGTACAGCATTTGCTCCCCAAATGACAATTTCCCCCTAATTTATTTAATAAGCATTTTACACTCTTTGTCATCAGAAAGTATGTCAAATTCAGGAAAGTAACGTGTAAAACTATGAGGAAAAACAGCATTTTCTGTAAACTGGACCCCCATTTTATCTCTAATGACAATCCTTTCAGCTGCCATGAATTCAGCCAAAACTTTGCATTGAAGTGTTTTTATGTGACCAGGTTGTCAATAGGAGTTAAATTCAATTCAAAGAAATCTTTAATTATTCATTATACAATAGATGCATATGCTGTATATGGATGTATAATAAGTTAGTTGAGTTTTGAGTTAGTTGAAATCCAGCCCATAAACTTATTTATCTGCAAGATTTATATCCTGCCTTTGTTCAGGGACTCAAAGCTGCTTAAAATATTGTGGGAGCAGCTATTTACCTTTTGTGTTTACCATTCAGTCCATACATGTCCTTACAATATGAATAAAAAACTTCCTAGAAAATAAAATACACAATTTTTCATTTGGCAGGCAAATGTAGGCAATTTAAAGTTGTTCATTCATTAGCTTGGAGCCGGAGTTTACATTTCACAGGTAAAAGGTTTCAGGAATAAGAAGGAGAACAGTCCTTATTGCTCTTAATTCAATAGTCTAGTTAGTATGTATAATGTAGTAAAAATGAAAATGTGATTCATTCTTCGTACAGAGGGCATACAACTTAGAGCTGCAAGATAGAAAGAAAAGGGCCGTCATGACGTTTACCATTTTTCAAGCAATTGCCAGGGCCTGGGACTGATTTTTTTTTCTTCCCCCCCCCCC